GGGGAGGTAGGGAGAGAGAGAGAAGGGGGCAGCCAGGGCTACAGCAGGGGCGCTGCCACGCGCCCCCTCCCGCTGCGCCGCCACCTGCCGCAAGGGCTCCGCTCCGGTCGGCGGGGAGGGAAGGAAGAGGACTGCCCTGCAGGGCGCTCTGGTTCTCCGCGCCGCCGCCCCCTACAGGGCAGCCGGAGTGGAACAAGAACAACAACAAAAACAACAACAAAAAGCGGCCGTGCCGCCCTAGGATTGGGCAGAATGCCACCTCCAACAATCTGCCGCCCCAAGCACCAGCTTGCTCAGCTGGTGCCTGGAGCCGGCCCTGATCCACCCCACACAGTTTAGTATAGTTCTTCAGGTAGTGCATTAATTGAGACATGCTATTTATGCATAATCTATGTAAGGTATTTTCATTGAAGGAATGGCTTTTTTGTTTGTTTTGGGGGGAGTTGTTTTTCTTTTGCTTCACAAAGTCTTTGGTTTTTGCAAACCTATTTGTTTTTTGAAAATATTTGAACATTACAAACAAATACTTGGAACTCCACTGAGTTTTTGCAAAGAACCAGAAGTTGATATAGTATTTGAGCATTGAAATCAGCCACCAAGCTAACATTGGTTTGTTTGTATTCCTGATTGACAAAGCACTCATGGGTTGAATTTGTGCATTTGAATTGTCCAAACCACCCCAGAAGTTCTGCAATGTTAATGGGCTTGAATACGAATGAACTGGAGTTTTAATGCATGAATTCTAACTGTACATGCAAACTTTTGTTACTCTACCTGCCTTATTTGCAGCAGCTGGGAAACTGAGATACAAATTAATATGAAAAAAATACACAAAGTCTGAAGTGGGTGAAAGAGACAAAGAACAGTTAGGAGAAAAGCTTGGGCAGATATTATGGAGTGGATTACAGTGCAGGAGATGAGGGCAAGAGATGTAGTTGGGGGTGGCATTTTGGAATTCTTTGAAAATTAGGAGGTGAAGCATGAGTTTAATGTAGAAGAGTGGAAGCTATTTCAGAGATCCAAAAAAGGAGCGAGGAGGAAGATGTGGCTGGAGCAATGGGAAAGGAAGATTATGTTGGCAGCTGCATTTTGGATGTAATGGAGCAGAAAAGTTGGGAATTGGGGAAACCAGTGAGGACAAGGTTATAGTAATTAAGACAGGAAGTTATGAAAGCATGAACTAAGTCATTGACAGTAGGGGCGGACAGGAATGGATGAATGAGGGAAAGAGTCCAAAGAAAACAATGGAAAGATGTGGGGAAAGAAGGCATCAATGTGATACTCAGATTATCATATCATTATCAGACGGGAAGGATGTTAGTGGGTCAACAATGACAGAGAGCAAGAAGAGAAGAATTTAAGGGGAAAGATAAGATTGTTTTTATAATAATAATAATTAATACCTAGCTCTTATATACCACTTTTTATCACAGATCTCAAAGCACTGTACAATGGAGCTCAGTATCATTATTGCCATTTTACAGATGGGAAAACTGAGGCACAGAGCAGTGAATTGACTTGCCAGAGCCAGGATTAGAACCCAGGTCTCCAGAGTTCCAGTCTAGTGCTCTGTCCACTAGGCAATGTAGTCTTGATCCTGTATATGTTGGTGTACATCCACTGAAGTGACTGGATTTACTTTGGGGTGAGTTTAGACCATTGAGTCTATCAGTAATGACCTTACACTCAATGGTCTAAACTCACCCAATGTAAATCCAGTCACTCCAGAGTCAGTATCATCTATCCATCTGTCTATCTATCTAACCTATCTATGGAGTTGTCAAACTGAAGAGAAGGTGAAATTTGGAGGATTTGGAGGATGGATACCGGTAGTGCTATTAGGTTAACCAGGAACATCCTGGTGGTTTCAGATGATACTGACCCTGGAGCTAGGGACAGAATAGGCTGTAAAAATAGTGGCGACCGGGTGGAAAGTAAGCTGTGTAAGAACTTTATCAAAATCCAAATTTTGAAAATTGCTTGGTGAATCATGGCAAATAACTCTAGAATGTGGAGTTGACAAAGGGTGTTGGAGATTTCAATAATATTGGCTATATAAATACTCATTTTTATAAGTGGCTTAACAGTTGTTGCTTTCCCCCGAGCCAGAAAGTTGTGTGTTCAAGGCCCATACTGCTACTTGAACTTTTTGCTCTCTGCTAACATTGCAGGTCTATGCTCAATGACTCATTCTTTAGATGAGAAGATAAACAGAGATTCCTGCTGCCAGTCTCTTGGTGACTGTCAAGGCCAAAGGAAAAAGATGTCCTATTGCTGAGAGCATAATATTTCCGCTATTGCCCATAGAGTCATGTCACCACGAGTGTTTACCTTATTTGTAAATTTATGACAAAAAATACAAACTTATATGCAAAATTCTCTCTCAAATGAGTCCAGCTGAAAGCTTCACCATGACACCAGACATTCTTGATTGTACCAGCTGACTGAGTGCAGAATGTTTTCATTTATGTTCGGAGGTTCTAAGAATGTAAACAGCTCAGGACGTTTTTGACATGAGGGTTTTAAGAGTGACTTCCAGCAGACTTGCGTTTTCCACAGCATGGGTGACACGTCCAACCAAGTGATGAAAGCCATAAAGTGATTCAACTCACTGTGTCCATTAACTCTTGGTAAATTTGTCAGGCTGCCCCGGGGGACACTATGCTGCCAGTTCATCACTTGTAGAAGTGCAAAGTTACATAACTGAATTGGTCATGGACCTGTTTGGATAGAGGGGGGAAAGAAGGGAACTTATTTCTCATCTGGGATCAATGAAAGTGCTACCAACTAAATACAGTGCTAACGGGGTAGTTGAGGTTAGCTGACAGAATGCTTTGATGTTTTTCTGAGGATCTGGCTATGCTGATTCCTATGAAGGGTCATAGAAAAAGAATGGAATTTTTTTAAATCCATAAAGCGATTCTTTCACAATTTGGATCTTGACTGAGATGAAAATGGTTTGAGTGATAACTGAGGGTGCTCATCAAGCAGCTTGCATTCTTGATGTATGTGGGGCATGCATTGCTACATCATGTAAATAGAAAGGATAATTAAATTAATATTAAACAGATAGCATTGTATTCAAGATATCTGAACATGGAACATTGATCTGTTTTTATGCAGCTGAAAGCTGTGTTCTTGTCGCACCCAATGTGTAACCGAGGGATTTCATAAAGTGGTTTCTGGTACATTTGAGGGGATTAAACCCTTGCTGAGCACAAAGCATTTGAGAAATTTTCAGGGATAGATTTCACAATAACCCTTGTGTTTTTCAACAAGTTAATGTCTGTTAATATGAATTTGAAGCTAAGAGTAATAAAATAACTTCTTAATATGCAAAGACTTTGATACATGTGAGATGTAGTTTCACGTTTTGAATCCCATAAAGCAAAATGAATAATGAAGAATAATAATAATGAATGATGGAGCAAATGAAATAATTCCCACAGCTCATTAGAATAATCCCTTAGGCTTGGTCTACACTACCCCCCCTAATTCGAACTAAGGTACGCAACTTCAGCTAC